GAGGGGCGCAAGGCCGAAGTTGGGCGGAAGCATAGCTCACCCCTGCCGCCCAGCCAGATATGCTGCCGCCAGGGCGCAATGGCAGTGCAGACTGGGTGCAGTTCGGGCTGGAGCCACCACTGGCTCGGGGAGGCACCACGGGGGGCTTGGCGGAGATGGCGCCACTGGGGCCCGCGCAGGTGGTCACGGCTGGTCTCCTGACCCTGCTCATCCTCTGGACCCTGCTGGGCAACGTGCTGGTGTGCGTGGCCATCGCGCGCAGTCCCCACCTGCGCGCAAAGATGACCCATGTCTTCATCGTGTCCCTGGCTGTGTCCGACCTGTGCGTGGCGCTGCTGGTCATGCCCTGGAAGGCCGTCGCTGAGGTGGCCGGGTACTGGCCCTTCGGGGCGTTCTGCAACGTCTGGGTGGCCTTTGACATCATGTGCTCTACGGCTTCCATCCTCAACCTGTGCGTCATCAGCGTGGACCGCTACTGGGCCATCTCCAGGCCTTTCCGCTACCAGCGCAAGATGACCCAGCGCGTGGCCTTGGTCATGGTCGGCCTGGCCTGGACCTTGTCCCTCCTCATCTCCTTCATCCCAGTCCAGCTCAACTGGCACCGAGGCGAGGAGGGCTCCGGAGGTGGAGGGGCCCCCTCATCCACCCTGCCTAACGGGACGTCCTGGGCGGAGGCCGGGGAGCCGGAGGCTGGCACTAACTGCGACTCCAGCCTGAGCCGCACTTATGCCATCTCCTCGTCGCTCATCAGCTTCTACATCCCGGTGGTCATCATGGTGGTGACCTACACGCGCATCTACCGCATAGCGCAGGGCCAGATCCGCCGCATCTCCTCTCTGGAGAGGGCCGCGGAGCGAGCGCAGAGCTGCCGGAGCCGCGGGGTCAGCGCCCCCGACGCCGGCCTGCGCGCCTCGCTCAAGAAGGAGACCAAGGTCCTCAAGACGCTGTCTGTGATCGTGGGGGTCTTCGTGTGCTGCTGGCTGCCCTTCTTCATCCTCAACTGCGCCGTCCCCTTCTGCCCTCGGGCCGGCTTACCCTGCGTCAGTGAGACCACATTCGACATCTTCGTCTGGTTCGGCTGGGCCAACTCCACGCTCAACCCTGTCATCTATGCCTTCAACGCCGACTTCCGGAAGGTGTTCGCCCAGCTGTTGGGGTGCACCCGTCTCTGCTCGCGCACCCCAGTGGAAACGGTCAATATCAGCAACGAGCTCATCTCTTATCACCAGGACACCGGCGGCCACAGGGAGCCAGCCACCACCTATACCCACAGGATGCCCAATGCGGTCAGCCTCGGGGAGGGGGACCAAGAGGACGCAGAGGAGGGACCTTTTGACCGCATGTCTCAGATCTCTCAGACATCTGGGGACCCAGTTGCCGCGTCGGTCTGGGAGCTGGACGGTGAGGGGGAGATCTCCTTAGGCAAAATCACACCGTTCACCCCCAATGGCTTCCATTAAACGGGGTTAAGGAGAACTCCAGAGACTGAGCGTAAGGGACTGGCGAGACACTGGTGAGTTTGCACACTCGCGTGCACCGCCCCCCGCCCCCCACTACACATGCCTAGCTGCTGCTCCACTGCCCACCGAGTCCCCTCGTGTCTCTGCAGTGGCCCACATGCTTAGAAAACTGCCCCCCCCCCAATGGATTGTTAAAAGAAATCGACCAAGGGGCTTAGAGTAAACTCCAATACATGCCCGCCCCGCAGGCACTCCTGTTAAGGAATAAAGTTTACTTCTTTAAAAAAGAAAAACATGTCCTCTATCAGTGCTCCTTTTTAAACGCATAGGTTGATTTCTGGACTGGCGTTTACCACCCGGAGGTGGTGGTGGGGTGGCCATGCCGGGGTGGGGTGGGCTTCCCTGCCTTGCTTCCTGTGCTCCTTGGTCTTGCGACCTCGAGGCTGACAGGTGTCTCTGCTGTAGCCCGGGCATCCTCCCTGCTCTGCCGTGATGGCTAATAAATATGAAGGTAGTGGAAGCTCCGGTGGATTCTCTTTGCTTGTCCGGGAGGTTTCCCAGTGCAGCTCCAGGAGAAAGAGGGGGTGGGGGTGGGGCAGGGCATCCTTAAAGGCAGGGCCATTAATTTCTGCGTCTGGAAGACCAGGTTTATCTTCATATTGGTTCCCAAACTTATTTGGCCCACCGCCCTCTTTTCTGAAAAAATAAAATAAAAATTACTCAGCGCCCCCCTGGATGTGAAAAACTAATGTTCTGGAGCCCATCCTCCAGGATAAAGTGCAGATATCCGCTGTGGCCAGGAACCCATGCTTGAGTTGCCTAACCACAAGGTCAGGGGTTCGAAACCGAAACCCAGGCAGAAGGATGAGGCTTTCTACTCCTGTAAAGAGTTACAGCCT